ATTTTGAAGAGCTACACTTGAATTTTAACAGCTTGGATAGAATTGGTCTAGTGTTACCATTTGGTCTGGCTTGCTTTGAAGTCTTGGACCCAAAGGGGCTTACCAGAAAATATCAGAGAGCAAGACGTGAAACATTAGCCAGGAAAAATAAAGTGATCAAACAGCCAAGGCATGAAAGAAAATATTTACACCAGAAGAAGCTTACGTTTGATACAAAAGACAAATATTAAGGAACAACAAAGTAAAATGTTACCATCTGTTTCAAAATATCGTAAAGAGTTCGAAATTGGGCGTTCATTTCAGTTGGCCAGTAGCTTAATACCTTGTTAAAACATCAAACAGATGATGAAAGCCACTTATATTTACCTTGTCAGTCATACTCCCAGCAAAGTTCTGGTGATTGTCTGTGAGTGTTAAAATACTACGCCAAGGAAGTGCAGGTTATTGAAAGATGACCTACATTAAAGAGCAATTCTTTTTATTAATTTCTGTCTTCGATTAAAGGAAAACTAAAATTTTTGGAGTAAAGGTTACCTCTGTGCTTCTTTCAGAAGTTGTTGATATAACAATATACCTATAGTTTTGTTTGACTTTTCATTATCATTTTGAGGTTAGATGTGCTGGAAACCAGGAATAAAAATGAAGTTTGCGTTCCAGCTAAATTGTGGTGATGATAAAAAGTGCAACATTATACTTGTGTACATTTTTCATTTTTATAAAACATTGTTATGTATTCACTAATATTTATAACAGTTTTGTGATTTAGGCATTATCATTGCTATTTTGCAGATGAAGAAACCCAAATCACGTGCAGAATATTTGGTAGGACTGAAATTAGAGCACAAGTATTATAACATCAGGTCTAGTACTGCTTTAATTAGACTTCAAATGTTTCTAGAGATTTCACACATTCATTGAGGAGAGCAGTATGATCATCTTAGGGTAAAATAACCTAAGGTAAATTTTTATATGAGACAAATACATGAGCAAATTAAAAGAAAATATTGATCTCACTGCCATCATTCTATTTAAATGAAAAGACAAATTTACTCATTTGAATCTGTTATATTTCCTAACTAAATTGACTTGTATTTTGCATGTAAATAAGAAGGCCTGGCAATGATAGTACAAGGACGTGGCTGTAGAAAAAGATAGGAAGAGAAATAGAAGTAATATTTGAGTGCCTACTTTACATACACTACACAGATGTTGCACAAACTTAAATACATTTCAGTTACAGTCATTATTGCAAGATGGTATAATTTAATCTAATTGAATTTAAAATTTCAGATTGTGGTGCCCATGACTAAATCTGACAATAAATGAAGAAAGGGCATGTACGTATATAACAAGTACGGAATTCCCCTCATTTTTCATTTATCTTCTAAAACTGTTTTTATTTCTTTTATCTTGAGGCAGTAAGATTCAAATTTAGCAATTGCCAGTATGTCCAATTCTTATTAACAGTGTACTTTTAAATTCTTGTTTATAAGGTATAAACCAGGTATGTCAGTCCTAACTGACATTTTGATAGGAAATGTTCTTTTTTTTTTTCCCCCAGCAAAACTAGATCCTATATTTAAATTTTGTTGGTAGTTGCAGAGGGTTTATAAAAATGAATAAGATACACTAGTGCCCTCAAAGAGTTTTTTTTTTATTTAGATGGGAGGTTAAATTTTTATCTGTGAAATACTATATAGTATATGAAACATAAAAACATACAGCATCATCTATCATGTGTAGTCTATCACATAAGATATAGAACAGGCAAAATGAGTACCTTATAGAATCTAATATATGTTCATTTCCCTCATACAGAAAAATATTAATATAAATCTTTTTTGAGAGACGTAGAAGACCTAAATAAATACGGAGATACCGTGTTTGTAGATTGTTAGGGTCAGTATCAGAAAGATACTGGTTCTCCCCAACCTGATCTGTTTTCAATAAAAATTCCAACTGTGTGTGTGAAAGAGAGAGAACTTGTCAAGATAGTTCTAAAATGTGTATGAGGAAGAACAAACATCTTAAAAGAGCCTCAAACACTCCTGAAGAGAAATCAAAAGGTATGTGTGTGTTTTGAGGGCTTGTCCTAGCAGTTACCAGTATTTATTTACATGAAATATATTTAATAGAATAATATTTAAAATAGTGTAATGCTATAGCATTAGGCAAATTGACCAGTGGAACAAAAGAGGGGCCAAGAAACAAACCTGCATACATGGGGAGCTCTGATTCGTGGTAGACCTGGCCCTGCAGACCAGCTGGGGGAGAAAGGTGTTTCAGAAAGTGGAACAGGGCTCCATTAATTATCCAGGTAGGAGAAAAGAGAAAGTTGTACCTTTATCTCACATCATGTGAAACATCAATTCTAGATGGATCAGAAAGCTTAAAAGGCTAAACTGTCAAACTTCAAGAAAATAACATCATTTTGACAAAATCACTAAGTATGAGGAAAAAAATTCATTTGAAAGATTACGAACTTCTCATTCATGAACAGATACCATAAAGAAAATGAAAAGACAGAATCACAAAGTGGTAGAAAGTATTTCCAGTCACAATTACTGAAAAAGGAATTTGTGCCTGGAATTATAAACTCTTTAAAAACAGTGAGAAAAAGAAAAACTGCAGTAAAATGTTACCGTAGAAGGCCTGAGACTGCTGTCCTTAGAAACTAAGCCCGGCTTGCAAGGTTTGCGCTTGGCCAGCACCAGGGAACTTGGATTTCAGAAACGTTCCCATGGATCCCTAACTGCAGAGGCTGGTTTACTGCGCTTGTTTGCACAAACAGTGTAGTTTATGCTGAGCATTTGCTTTGCTTCTTGAGGTCTTAAATTTTTGTACATGCCAGGCAGAGTGCATCAGTGACCAGTCCCCAGTAAAAACCTTGGGCAGTGAGTTTTTAGTGGACTTCCCTGGCCAGAAACATCACACACATGTTGCTACATTTTTGTTGCTGAGGGAAGTGTGTGTTCTGTGTGATCCTGACAGGAGGGAGAGAGCAGAAGGAAACCTGTATATGGGTTTCTCAGTATTCCCTGTGTGTCTTCTTCCCTTGTGATCCAGCTATCCATAAACATATGACTGTCTACCTCCATTGCATTAATTTTCAAGGAAATGCAGATTAAAACCACGAGGACATATAGGTTTCACCCACCAGATTATCAAATTAAAAGGTCTGTCAAATATTAAGTGTTGGCGAAGAAGTAAGCAATGCGAACTGCCATACACCGCTGAGGGGCGCATAGACTGGTGTAACTCCTTTTGAAAAACATTTGGCGTGATGTAATAAAGTTGAAAGTGCACATATCGTGTTGTCTACACATTCCGTTGTAGGTCGTTACCCTTGGGAAACTTTTATATACATAGTATTCTGTTCAGCGTTATTTATAATAAAAAAACAGGAAACAACTTAAATGCCACTGACATCTGAATGGATAAATAAATTGTGACATATTCATAAAATAGAAGTAAAAATTAATGGCATACAGCTCCATGCAACAATATAGATGACATTCTCAAATAAATAATGTTGATTGAAAAAGCAAAATATAGTCAGCCTTATTCCTGTATTATAAAGGTCAGAAATATGCTTGACTAAACAATGTATTTCTTAGATATATAAGCATATGGTAAAACTGTAAAGAAATGGAAGGGAATGATAAACACAAAAATTCCAGATGTCTTTTCCTTTTGTGGGATAGGAATGGAAATAGAATCGGGGAGAAGCAGAAAGGGACTTTCAGTCATAATTTGATGTTCTTTACTTAAACTGCTTCTTGGTACATGAGTGTTCATTGAAGCTTTATTGTTTAGACCTTACTGATATTTAATAGGCTATCTTTTGTATTTATTCAATATTTGCTAACACAAGTTTTCAAAAAACTTACACTGGTGAGACTGTGAGGAAGTGAGCACCTTTATATACTGCTTGTGGGAATATAAATTGATATGGCCTCTCCAACAGGCAAGTTGGTGTGATACATCAAATTTTCAAATGCACATATCATACGACCTTATAGTGCCACGTCTAATAATTTATCTGTCATCTATACATTTATTTATGGGAAATGGAATCTTTGTAATGTATTCATTTTATTATTATTCGTAATAGCAAAAGAATAGAACTTCCAAAATGTCCTTTATCAGAGTTTGGCTAAATAAATTAAGTGTATCAATACAATGAAAGTATTGGCAATTTCGAAAAAGAATGCAGAAACCCTATATTTAGTTTTTTAAAGAATGATCTCTAAAATATACTTTAAGTGGGAAAAAAGGTATATAGCAATGTATACAATAGTATTCTACCACGCGGAGCAGAGGTAATGGGTGGACAAGTTTATATATACGTAAGTATGTATGGGTGACGGGTGCAGAGATAGATGAGAGTCTTTTCAATTGATACATTTTTATAACTTTGACATTCCTGCTATTCAAAATAATAAATACTGCTTTTAAAGATAAAATGCACTTTAAATAATAATTTAATATTAAGATAGGCAGTAAGAAGCAAGGAGAAACACCTACAAACCTAGAGGGCTTCAAGAAAGGCAACGTGTCAGAAACAGGAAAGCAAAGAAGGAAACTAACGCTGCAGACAGACTCGATGGTTTCAAAACTATTCGAGACTCACGTATATTTACTCTTGATTCCTGGAGGCCTCTCTGTTGTGGTGATTAGTTTACAGTTCTTCCTAGCGGCAGTGGTTAATTTAATTGCTTGGGACTTTTACACAGATCTTACCACACTGAGAGTAAAAATGTGCTGTTGCTGCTTGTCCCTGTTGTAATTGTTCATTATCTTAATGTATCATTTGTAGGTATCCATCATACTTGGCACCTGAGGTCATCGCACAGGGAATTTTCAAAACCACTGATCACCTGCCAAGTGAAAAACCATTGCCTTCTGGCCCAAAATCAGATGTATGGTCTCTTGGAATTATTTTATTTGAGCTTTGTGTGGTATGTATAAAGAAATATTAAACTAATAGAAATTATGTGTTCATTGGAATAATCCTTTTGAGAGGAAAATTATTTAGTAGTAATAGGTTTTGCTGTGCAAATTGGTGAGATACGAGAAAGAAAGGCTTTATTCTCAATTTGACTTTTTAAAAACTCCTGGTTGATAATTAATTTGCCTATTTTTTGGTAAATTTAAATTTTACTAAATGTATATTATTTTGGTATCTCTAGAAATGTTTACATTTACACTTTTACTGCTTATACTTGTTTATATGTTCATGGTGTCTTTCCCCTCTGATGTTCTTTCTCCTTAAATACCTTGTTTTCTCCTATTCTCTTATGTTCCCTATAAGACTCAATTTGTATGTTGGCTTTTTATGAGACCTTCCCGAGATATCTTCCATCTTTATTTGGAGAGTAAAGACTAAGCTGCTTTTAAAAACAAAAAAATTAAAAATCCGGTAACAGAACATAAATGTTTTTCTTCTCCTTCATGTAGCAGTCCAGAGCGGGTAGGTGAGCTCTGCTCTACGTCACGCAGAAACGTAGGCAATCAGGGATGGGTCCACCATTCTCAACATCCGGTCTCCAAACTTGCTCTCTTTATCACTTTTTCTTGCTAGAAGGGAAGGGTGAGTTCAGAGTAACTGTTTTTAAGAAGATGATCTCTGCACTCTTCACCAGTTGACGGTTTTACTCATGTGGCCACATCTAGGTACAAGGGAGGATAGGAAATACAATCTTTAGCTGGATATCTAAATATTGAGAAAAAAGAGGAGAATGGATTTGGAGGCACAACTAACAATCTGTTGATCTTCCCAGTACCTACCGGTACTAGATGCTCTCTCTCGTCTCTTCTTTTGTTACAAAGGGAACTTGGGGTGCACTAGAAATTCTAAGCAAATAGATGAGAAGCCAAACCAAAACCATCTACTAGGGAGCACTTGCCTTATCGCCAGAAATTCTATACAGCCACTCTGCCCCCAGAAGTTTCCATAGTCCAAAACATGTGTAGGAGAATTCTGTATTAAAAGATGAGTATATATCTAAGAAACACATTTAAAAATGACCTTTATAATGAAAAATAACAAACAGAATTGACACTATTAATAGGACTTTAAAATAAATAGGTGTGTTCTTTAAAAGATAAAGGAAACAACTGCATTCATGAACAATTATAGAAGATATGAAACAAGAACAGTTACTGAAAAGAACAAGAACTAGTTAGAGTTAAGGAAAAAATGTGCAATTACTGAGATAAAGAACCTAATAGATGGATCATAGGAAACTGAACAAGCAAAGTAGATGGAGCAGAGTAATTCTTCTAGAATAGAGATAAAATACAAATAAATTTTGAAAGACAGGGAAAATAGATCTAGACGTTCTAACATCTGTCTTGTAGAAGTATCAGAAGTAAAGTCCTCTGTTTGAAAAGAACTACTTTCTTTCAAATGGAAAAAATAAAAACACACAAATGGCAATAACAATACCTAGAAACCTTACGGTAAACATTTAGGAGATAACCAATAATGAAATAATGGGTAACTTTATTGAGCACTTATCAAGAAGTAGGCAGTTTTCTAATCTCTTTACATCTATTATCTTCATCAATTCTCATAGTCTGACAAAGTTTATCTGATTATTATCTCTATAGATTAGGAAATTGAGAGATTAAACAACCTAAGTTACATAAAATAAGCAGTTGAGCAGATTTGTACCTATCCATCTGCCTCCAAAGCTATACTCTTAAATAAAATAAAATACAAAGCTGCCTTCGCTAAATGTCTTTATTGGTATTAAAGTGAAAAATCTTAAAACCTGCCAGAGAAAAAAGACATATTACCTATAAAGAATGAGAATTACATTGACTTTAATCTTTTTTGACAGTATGAGTACAAGAAAACAGTGGGACAGTGCCATCAACGTGCTGACAGAAAATCATTTTAAATTTTGAATTCCTTAACTCATGAAATTAACATTCAAAAGTAAAAGTGAACGATATAGAGAATTTTGATAGACACAATGAAAAGATAACTGTTAGAGGGAATGACATCCCTGTAAGGCCAGAATAAGAAAGGATGTGTTCAATATATTGCAAGTGATCTAACTTAACTACATCATGGATATGTGTGTGTGTGTGTGTGTTCCTCACAGGGTAGATAATCGTAAGCAATTATACTGAAAATATATATTGGAGCCATATCCTAGGAGACTTGGCTAAATTTTGATGTTTATGTTTAGTTATATAAGGTATGGCAGACAGTTGAAAGTTTTTTTAAGATATTGATGAAATCAGACCTACATTTTTGGAAGATTAATAAGATAGTATAAGAGATAGAGGAACAGTAACTTTTTAAAATGATCCTTTCACCTGTAGCTCTGATCTCGTAAGAGTTTAAAATTTTTTTCTATTTAAAAATAATCAAAGAATCTCTCTTTTTCTCTGTGTAAAGTCCAGGCTATCTTCTTAAGCCTTGTCCTTCTAACTTTATTTTAAAGATCGCATTAGTTTAATTTGTTGATGATGAGAGAAATATAGTAATAGCCAACATAAAGCCTTTTCTGCATTATATAACCCTCAACGTAACCTGTGGGGTATGTACAGTTAATATTCCGGTTTCATAGATGAGAAAAGCAAAGCTCAAGGTGGTTCAGCAGTTTGCCCAAGTTATATCACTGTTTGGTTGTGGAGGAGTCAGCTTGGCACCTAATCACTGTTCAACTCGTAATGGTTGAAAGCATAAGTGTTTGACTCCAGACTCCATGCCAGGGAGCCTCCCGAGGCTGACTACTAAGGAAACAGTTACAATGTGTGTATCTCTAAGAAATATGCCAGGTGCTCTAGGAACACAAAGGACGGCTGCGTGAAGTTACTGTGGGAGGAAGGAGGAGCGTCATGGAGTATTTCTCAGTGGAGAACATTCTAAACTGCTACCTAAATTACGACATACAAGTAAGAATTAGTTGGGTAGATGAAAAGGTACTGAGTCTTCCCAGGAGGCGTCTTGGTCTCCTCATAGCACAAAACTCCTGGTGGCCTGGATACCTCTAGACATCCCAGTGTGTGGGTCTCAAAAGTGAACAGTGCTTGAGATCAAACTGACATGTAACGATCCTTAGATATGTGAAATATTTAAATGTCAAATATTATGTAACACTTTTTAAAATGTTAATTCACCAGTAATATTTTTTAGTGGAGCTCACTTTAAAAATCCAATAAAACCTCTGGAAGGTAAATGGAGATACTGGAAAAAATCAGTTTGAGCTGTGGGGGGAAAAAGACCTCCTTGGAAAAAAGATGAAAATATTAATGAGAATTTCTTTTTTTTATTTTATTTAGGGAAGAAAATTATTTCAGAGCTTGGATATTTCTGAAAGGCTAAAATTTGTGCTTACTTTGGGTAAGTGTCATGCAATTGATTATCTGTCAACTATAAATATCTTTAGTAACTGTTAGTAATACGCACATTAAAGATGTGTTCTGCAGTAGTGTATACACTTTAAGTTTCTAAATTTATCTAAGGAAAAAGTCTGTACAGGTTTATTTTTTCTTATAGCAGGCTCATATTTTTTCATGTATATAGATGCAAACATTTGTAATTCAAATTAATAAAAATTTGTATAATCTGCTTTAAAGTGGCATAACTTTAAGCATGTGTGGTAATAAAGGAGAGAAAAAGGTGATGGAGCACTTCATGTGAAAGATTAGTATCCAGGCTAAGAGGGTTTACAGTAAGAATTTGTACATGAAAATATTAATAAATATTAGATAATAATGAATTAGAAGTAAAATTGCATAAAGTTTTATGAAATTTACCACATTTAATTACAAAGATTGATAATACAGCTATTGATGAGTCTTGGAGATTCCTAAAAGTGCTCTGCAGACTAAACTTACACTTTAAATTCCCATAGAAAGGTGTGTACATTCTCCAAACTGTATATAATTAAAATAAGTTAATGTCGTAATCATGAAAAGACAATAAAGCCTTCTTAAAAAGTTTATATACACACACACTATATATATAGAGTCGCCCCTCAGTATACACAGGGGATTGGTTACAGGGCGCCCCTCCAGCCCCCACATATTCCGAAATCCATGCCTACTCATGTCCCACAGTCAGCCACGTGGAACCACGTATACAAAAAGTAGGCCTGCTGTATATGTGGGTTTCGCATTGTTAATACTGTATTTTCCATCCACGTTTGGTTAAAAAAAAATCCTCATATAAGTGGACTCTCACAGTGCAAACCCATGTTGTTCAAGGACCAACTCTATGTGTGTGTGTATGTATAGATACCTATTGATAGATATATCTATAAATAGATGGCTCTATCTATATATGAAAAGAATATCTTTACCTCTTTGAACAACTGCTTTATCTCATTTAAGTAGCTCTTTCAGTATCTGTGATTCAATTAATATTCAGTGTTTGAGGTCTTTATTTTTATTAAGACAGGTAAGAAAATTTAACAAAATCATGAGTTTTTTAGTATTTCCAGTTCCAAAACTGCATTACGCTTTTTAACAAATGTAGATCACAGTTTGTTTCCCAATTAGTCAGATCGATTAGAAAAGCAGCATTTATCATACAGTTTTTCTGTTTCATAGACTGTGTAGACGACACTGTAATTGTTCTGGCTGAAGAGCATGGTTGTCTGGACATTATAAAGGTGTGTCATTAATCCGTGTCTTAGTTTGTTTGTGCTGCTCTAACAAAATACCTAAGACTGGGTCATTTATGAGATGCAAAAATGTATTTTCTCTTAGTTCTGGAGCCCAGGAAATCCAAGATCAAGGTGCCGGCAGGTTTGGTTTTTGGCGAGGGCTGCGTCCTCCTGAGGGAAGGAACACCGTCTCTTCACAGGGCAAGCGAGGCGATTGCTCATTCCTTCCTGAATTCTCTTTCCCATTCAGGAAGGGAAAGGCCCGTGTGACCCAATCGCCTCTTAAATGCTCCACCTCTTAACACCATCACATTGGCCCTTAAGTTTCAGCGCCTGAATTTTGGAGGGGACACATTCAAACTGTAGCAATCTGTTCATGAAAATGTGTTTATTTCACATACTTGGGATCCAGTAGCAAGCTATTTTAAAGCTATGCCTATTTCTCTTTAGGTATTTGCTTTTTCTTAGAGTGACTGATATAAATTTGTATAAAATACAAATAAAAACTTTTTTAAAAAAATCAACCCTTCTAGGATAGCAAACATTTGAGTAAAATATATTTCTAAAATGGGTCATTTTAGGCAATTATTTTCTTTTTTTATTTACAGGAGCTTCCTGAAAATGTGATAGATCTTTTGAAGAAGTGCCTCACCTTCCATCCTTCTAAGAGGTCGATATTATTAATGGTTTGGGAATTACATTGAAATCCTTTATATATAAGCAGTTATTTTTTTCTTGTTTGTTGTAATACTAATAGATTAAATATATTTATATCTGTAGTAGTACATGATCGATATCAGTATCATAACTGTGAGTGATTTAAGGCTTTAGTTTTTTGTTAAAAAGTCATTAAAGTTGAGCTATGGTTAGAAAGCTGACATATACCAAAAGAAGTTACTAGTTCATTTCCTAGCTTCCAAGCAGAAAATCAGCTAAACCTGTGGAAAGTAGATATCCCTAGATCCAGTGATAATGTCAGAGAAATGAGAACAAAGGTTTGTTGGTGATACATGTTATAGCAATGCTCTTAGATAAGTGGTGAGGTAAATTAACAATCGCTGATAATAGAAAAGGATTTCTCAGATGTTTTATTAATTTACTTTCTTTTGTTGTTGTCACTGTCCATCATACAATTATTCCCAAACCCTTAGGTATATAATGTTTGAAAATAATGTATTCTAATTTGTCTTTAGAAAAACAACTTTATCAAGACATGTTAGGAAGAGAGGAATGGTAGTTTTGGGTGAATATCTTACGTTAAAGTAAAAGGGTAAGAAGAAAACCTAAAAGGTATTATTAGTTTACATAATTATTATTTAATTGAGATATTCAGTAAAGCAGGTACATGCTTGCCAGGCAAAAAGTATTGTAAAAAATGCAAAAGCTCTTAAAGAATGATTTTTTTGATAGATCATGAGGTACAGAAAGTACAAAAAAGTAAAAAAATTTCAACGTTAACTCAGTCATTTCATTGCTATATATATAAAGGTATACATTTAGACTTCTGCAAAGGAGATCTTTATTATTTTCTGTGCTAATGAGGTATTTAAGACTTTTAACTATCCCCTTGAATGTGTGCCAGTATTCTAGGAAATTTTTTATGACTTTTATTCAGGCTCTGTATTTTAAATGTGTTTCTCAAGGCCAACCCCAGACGAATTGATCAAGGACAACGTGTTCAGTGAAGTGTCACCTTTATACACCCCCTTTACCAAACCTGCCAGTCTGTTTTCATCTTCTCTGAGATGTGCTGAGTTAACTCTGCCTGAGGATATCAGTCAGCTGTGTAAAGGTAACGGTACATGAAACACAGGCGATAACACGAGCCTTGTTTTTAAAAGAAGTTCCCTTGTCCCAGTTCAGTTGTGAATTTATCAACAATATATATCACGTAAGTGAGATTTTATGGATAATTAATTGAGGATTAAGAGATGATTCAGGAATTGATTAAAATATAACTGACCTAACATTTTAATCCTTTAAGTTATTGATATATTCCATGTAATTTGCAAATGATCTCTAAAAATCGTATCATTGATAGGAAGTCCATACCATTATATTCTGCATATTGAAGAGAGTATCAGCTTTTAGGTTTTCGTTCTTGTGTGAAGATTACGACTCTCAGAATATGTGGTTTAGTGACACCAGTAAAATATCATGGCATAAGTCATGGCAGAAAATATGTACTAAACATTCATTCAATTAAATATTTATTGAGTTCCTACTCTGTGCCACATACTGCATCTCCCAAGTCACGCCACGTGGGAAGGCAGACAAACACTTAGTGAGGATTTCTTCTAGGAAAAAGTTTCTTTCATGACAAGATAGGTACTACAACAGTGGTTCACCATCTTCTTTTCTTTTGAATGCAGGAAACCGTCTGAGGGACCCAAGTTTGCGTCCCATAGCATTCCTGCACCTATGATTTAATTAAGAGAGAAGAATAAATGTCTTTATTGTACAAGCCACTTTAAGTAGGATATTATTTTCAGCCAGGAACATTCAAACCATTACAAAAATTAGAATCTGCCAGTCATGACATACCTCCGTGGAGAAGAAGGGAAATACCTAACTCTAGCACATTCCAGCCATCCTGTTCCACGCTAAGGGCAAGGAAGCACCTGTGAGAATCTCAGTCTGGGAGCACAGGTTGGCTGAAACATCGAGACCCGGTCACAGGACTGACTACAAAACGCTTCCTCTCCCGTGCTTGACCACCACGTGGAAGGCTGGGGCTGGCTGGACTTGGACATTTCCCTTCCCCCAGGTCGGGTGGGCTGTCGTGTTACCCCAGCACATTAGGCTCTGACTAACTCGTTTCTTCTGAAGGCGGGCTTTGCTGAACACAGTGCTAGTCATGTCTTAAGATGGTTCCTTTTCCTCCTCCCACTGCTGGAGGCACACGGGCATTTTTCTCCAGTATTTACTGTGAGAACCTCGTCAAACTCCTGGAGGTAAAACTTAGAAAAGTGTGAGGGTGCTCCCTGTGACTAGATTCTCTCTGGGTACCCGGCAGTTTTGCAATTATAATTATAGTTCAGGTTTTCCTGCCCCGGCGCTGGTTCCCGAGGCTTTTTCTGCTCGTGAGTCTCGACTTCAGTAAACCACAACTCCTGTGCGCTCCTGTCCCTTCAGTCTCGGGCAGAGGTCTGCCCTGTATCCTCACGTCTCTTACAGATCCAGGAAGAACTGTGGATTTTTCAGTCTGTTCAGCTATTTACTTGTTAGGATGGAGCAGTAACTTCAAGCTCCTTACAATCAGAACCAGAAACCACAAGTCTGTTCTTTAGTTTTTTACTTTTTTCAGAATGTCAGCTGTTATTACCTATTGAATTTTAATAAAAACAAAATGTAATCACTGTTATTCGTTTTAATTTGCCATTAATAGATATAAACGGTGATTACCTGGCAGAAAGATCTATTGAAGAAGTTTATTACCTTTGGTGTTTGGCTGGAGGAGACTTGGAGAAAGAGCTTGTCAACAAGGAAATCATTCGATCTAAGCCACCTATCTGCACACTCCCCAAGTAAGGAGAGAAAACTTCTCTTGGAAATGAAAAAACATATCTGGTAATTACATTAGAAAAAAATTTTGGTTGGTTTTTCGTTTTTTTTTTTAATATTTTTGGTGGCTAGCCCAACTAAGTGATTATGGAAGCAATTGGAAGTTAACACCTCATTTGATTGGCTAGAGTTTCTGATTGCAAGAGTTCTCATCAATATTTTTTAATGGTTTTAATAATATCTTTTAATAAATAATTTGCTTTATGTTCTATTTGAAGTAAAGTTAGTATTATGGAATATCTAGGAATAATCGATGTTAATGAAAAGTATACAAGTCAGAACAGTAACATTTAAGAGAGTCAACTTAAAAAACTAGGTTAGTGTGCCTATTGTGAAGCACTATGTTCTTTTTCCAAATGTATTTGTAAATGAAAACGAACTGTGTGGCCTCACTGCATGTCCTGGAGATCATCACTGTGCTTGGTGTGTTGGAAAAAGTCTGCAAAACTGCACGAGAAGATAACCATGCCATAAATCAGACTGGAAGTGCAGTAACTGCAGCCCCAGGCCAAAGTCGCCATTACTGTAACATAGCGATGTTCATATATAGTCATAAAAATATGAACCCAGTTTTCTTCAGCTTCTACCAATGCTTTAGTATTTTAATTTTAGATTTTAAGACTTAAATTTGATCATTGTAGGTACCTGTAGAAATCATCTGCTCACCATTTTTTTTGCAGTTGTTAAACTTACAGATTATTTTTGTCATTAGTTTTCAAATTTTTTCTCTCTCAAACTGATTTTTTTTAAATATTAACTTCAATTGTACCACTCATACATTGAATTAGTAGAAAATCAGAGATAGCATGATGGAAATTCCAGGAAGAAATGGTTCGAAGGATATGTAGATTCTCGAAAGTAATTCTCTGAAATTCTGAACAAATTTCATCCATTTGTTATTCAGTATTCTTTCCCCTGTAAAGTTACCATGGAATGTGCTTTTTCTTTCTTCTTCCCTTTAGCATTTTTCACCTATATGAGCTTTCTCAGGAGAACATTTGGTGGTGTCAGGAGAGTAATTTTAGCACGGAGCCTATAGGAACCAAGAGTTATAAATGACACTCTTTTACTGCTAAAGTGCTTTATACTTACATATACTTATAAACCATGTTCGTACCAACTCGAGAGATACCTGAAAATGAGACTTTGAAGAAATCTGGACCAGCAATTACATTTGTTTTCTATTTAACATCCAGTCAAAAATTTACTTCTTTCTTGATAAAGGGATTGGTAATTTAGAATAAATTTTGTTTTCTAGAAACAATGAGTTAGATTTTGTGTTCTTATTGTAATTGTTTTATAAAATGTCTTTTCAGTTTTCTCTTTGAAGATGGTGAAAGCTTTGGGCAAGGTCGAGACAGAAGCTCACTTTTAGATGACACCACTGTGACATTGTCATTGTGTCAGCTGAGAAATGTAAGAAGGATGTTTTGCCACATTTGCTTCAGATCTTTTTTTAAAAATATTAAGCCTTACAGGTACATACGAAGCCTTGTATTTCTCCTTGATTTCTTAAAATATAGGAGAGCTTCTGTATGATATAAGCCCCAGAGTAGAATTGCTAGAAAATAGCATCTGTACGACTTCAACCTTAATACCTATTGTCTAATTGTTGACAAAAATGATTTTTATCAGTTTATCTTTACACAATCATTCGATAAGTGTTCTCATTTTTCCACTTATTTGGTAACGTTTTGTCTTAAAATAATATAATGATTTTTACCTTAAATGTTTCTGCACAAGTACTTTCACCCCTTGTTTATCTTTAATGTGCTAAATTTTTAATTAGAAAAGACAAGCAGAAAAGATACTTATTATTTAATATCTATAACATTGAGGATACTAAAACCAAACTTTAAAAAGATGTGTGTATTAATGATTCAGTAAAACTTAAGAAAATTTTCTTTACTTAAAATTTTAATCTATGAAAGAAATACCTAAAGGTTTACCAAAATAGGATCAGTACACAGCATATCAGTTTTTAGAGAGCAGCCAGGCATAAATCTAGTGTTTGCCAAATTCTCAGTGTTGGGTAAAAGATTTTTCTTTGGCTTTTAAAATTCTGGGCATGACTCACATGGATGCACAATGACTCTAATCGAGAGAGGATCAGGGCGGGCTACGCACAGAGCCCGAACTTCCGTGTCAGTCCCCAGAGGAGCAGAAACTCTGCCTTCACGCTGGGAGCTGAAGAGCAGAGCGGCAGGCAAGACGGCATTAACTTTAATCACCCTGCCTAGGATGTGGCTAAGATTTTCATTTTGCTACTGCCTGCTTGCATATGTTTTTGACAAATACCTGGGATCACGGCAATGTTATTTGGAGCAACATTTATTGTAATGACTTTTCGAAAAAAATAATTAGTTGAATTCTGTCAATTCATTTATCAGCCATTTGAATCATACATGTTCAAAGTATGATGTGAGAGATTCTTTTGAATCCTTTTCCTAGCACCTTTCCTTTTGACTTAGTTTGTATTGTGCCAAAACAAAAATAAATCTGACTTGGGCTTTTAATTAATAGATATATAAAAAGATATATCTTGTTAATCATCTTTCTTCCTATAACTTAAAAATATTTTATCCATTAAGTTTTATTCTGATGTTAGGGTATTTCTGAGTTGTGTTTGGAAAAATACCATGATGGGTGTCTAACATTTATGCATGATACCTAGAGACAAAAATAACCAAAAAACAAAAAGCTATTCTTTACAGCTAAACCTTAGTCAGTAGAGGCATGGCATGTTTGCATGTTTATGATGAGAACTAATTTTTAGATTCTGTTTTTTACTTTTCTTGGTACCTTTATAAATACATAATGTTTATATTACATTTCTCTTAAATACAGATCAGTGCTGCTGCCAAAGATGTTTATACATAAATATTTTGTCTTTAAATTTATAGAGATTGAAGGATGTTGGTGGGGAAGCATTTTACCCATTACTTGAAGATGAGTAAGTAGAGTCCCATTTTACATTTATTTTTGTTTTCTATTAATATTAGATTTCTAAAACGTTTGTTCATTTTCTTTGAAAAGCATTTCATAAATGGAACATAAAAATATCATGTTTTGGTTTATTAAAATTTTGTATTTATTGGTCAATTTTTTCTTTTTTTTCAATTCTTCCTTGACAGCCAGTCTAATTTACCTCATTCAAACAGCAATAATGAGCTGTCTGCTGCTGCCACTCTCCCTTTAATCATCAGAGAGAGGGACACAGAGTACCAACTCAACAGAATTATTCTCTTTGACAGGCTGCTGAAGGTAGGGATTCTAAAGTCTAAAATGGTAACAGCCCATACGTAATTCTTTTATGCGTGTGTGTAATTTCATTGGTAATCCTTAGGGAATCTCGAGGTCCAGAGAAGGCTAATCCTTATGACCTATCTTTCTCGATTAACTTTCTTTAGTTATAAAAATGGTACATGTTCACAGTAAGTAAAATTAAAAAGTAAGAAGAAGGTATGGGAATGTATGGAAAATCGTGTTAGATGAAGGATTAATATCCTTGTTTAAAGGATTAATATCAGTAGGATAATTATTCAATTATCAATAGGATAATTATTTCCTATTATTCAATAGGAAAAAGAACCAATATTGAAACAGAGAAATGGATAAAGTACGTAATATAAATACGGTTAGTAAATCTGTTCAAATTGTTCATTCTCACTAGAAGTGAAAAAACAAAATAGGGGTGGTTTTTTTTTTGTGGTGTACAGATTAGCAAAGTGAGCAAAGGTACATGGAAATTGGAACTCTCATTCTTTGAGAGTAAATGTGAATTGACTGAAATATTTTATAAGGCAATTTGAAATATATATCAAGAACCTTAACAACATCTATATCCTTTGTCCTAATAATTCTCTTCTAGAAATTGCTCCTAAAATACAAATTCAAAAAAGGACAAATTTATATGTAAGATATAGAAATAGCCATAATAATAGCGTATAGTCATTGAACACTTGCTCTATTACCATGTTTTTACAAAGTGCTTTGCAAACATTATCTTTTTTAACCCATATGAGGCTGGTACTATCATCCTCCATCTGACTCAGAATCCTTCCAGAGCACAAAATAGAAGGGATTAAAAAACATGCAGAATCAGCTCCTCTGTTTGATTATATTGTACAAGTTTTGCAGGCTGTTTAGGAGTCCATTCCACTGCTTATTTATGTGTATTAGTAATACCAGACACAGAAATTGGAGATACTTTGAAATTTACTGTAGGTCATTTCATCTTTATCACTGGTGTATTCAGAACTGTCTAGACTAAAATATAGTACGGGGTAATTTGAGACATGTTTCATTTCTTTTTTCATATCATAGGCTTATCCGTATAAAAAAAATCAAATCTGGAAAGAAGCAAGAATTGACATTCCCCCTCTTATGAGAGGTTTAACCTGGGCTGCTCTTCTGGGAGTTGAGGTAAGAAAGAAAAGAGAGGGTTAGAAGTTGATTAATGATGCTAAGAAAGGGTGAAGAAGGATAGTGCTTTCCGAATATATATTTTTCAAGTTACTAGAAACTTATATAGTAAAATGTGAACATTAGAATATTTGGCAATTTTAAATGAAAGGAATACAGGAAAAGAACAGAATAAAAAATATAATTGAAGGTTTGTTAGATTTATGCTGTTTAATATTTGATTTAGTGGTGCTTACAGAAAATATCTTGATTATTAATTTTAAAATCAGAGAATATTGCAAGAATATGTATCAGTTACAGATAGATAGTCCTACTTATAAAGTATACTCATTATGGAATATAATTACCTATTTATAAGTAATTCTAAGTTTGAAAAAAAATCTTTCAGTCCAATTTGTGTCTTGTCAAAATCGCTAACACGATTTAGTGGTTTTGGGCACACATCTTCCACTCGGACTATGCTGCCAAAAGAAGTAGCTACTTTCTCTTACACAACACTTTGTCAGTGGCGGTGAGGAAAGGAGAGGTGTCATACAATTATTAGGGCAGCTTTCAATACCAGCAGGTAACTCTGGTGACAGCAATGATGATAATGGGACAGTCCTTGCCAGATTTTTTCATACCCTGTCAATTTCTTTGTCATCCTGTCTTTCCGTATTCTCTTACAGATACTTACCATCCTTTTTTTTTAATTCCTTCAACTATTTTTAATCCTTTTCAAACCTCCATTAGAAGAATTTCCTTGCTTCATTCCTGATTCCCTGGATGGGAGTCTATAAATACCTCTGAGTGTGGTTGGTTACTTTACAAGAATGCCCGTTGTTCCACACCATGCATTAGAATCATTAGACTGTAGAACCGTCCGATGCTAAAGTCCAGGAGGACTTTGGGTATCCATTGTCCAACTCCCATTAAATAGATGTCCCAGGGAAGCTGATATAGTAAATAACGTCAGAGCTGGAACCCAAATTTCTGGCTCTTTCTCTACCGTAAAGATAAGCCAGAATAATAAGAACTTTTTCATGCTGGGTCCTATAGAACAGGACCAAAATTTGAAGTGGTTAATTGGGTCATTCCTTCTGTAATAGCAAAAATGTCAATGACCCTTTTAGTCCCTGATGAGTCTATAATTACACAATATCCACTCTTTAGTTGATCCTGAACTTCTGTGTCGTGGTGCTGAACTACCACTCCTCTGAACAGTGTTATTTCATTACCAACTTGAAGAGGGAAATTTCTTGTGGAACCACCTCCCTCCAAAAAATGTATCTCTTCCGGAAAGTTGGTATTTGTGAGATAGCGATGAATAGAGAACAAGGTTGGTTGTGTGGTGTGGTGGAGGCCCAGAGGTTGGCTAAGCACACTCAGTAGCTGAGTGACTCATCCAAGACCTTCTGGGCAAGATTCAAAGGTCTGCCACAGCAAGATGGCAAATCGTCTATTATCCCAGACCTTCATCACAGATTGTCAGAGATGTAGAGAATTTCTCTTAAGTCGAGGTGTACCTTGGGTTCGAATGTGCCTACGCATAGTTGGGTAGGTTTTCAAAGATAGATATTTATAAAAAATAGATTTCTCTACGTTGCCAATTACATTAAGGACATGGTGAATTAATGTATCTTCTCTTATTATTTGCAGGGGGCTATTCATGCCAAGTATGAAGCAATTGATAAAGACACTCCAATTCCTACGGATAGACAGGTATGATTTAGATTTTTTTTTAAAACAACCTGAGATAATTCTGCCAAATCTTTAAATTTTAGGAAGACATGAGATTTTCTTTCTTTCATTATGAATGCTTAGCCACTGCCATAGACAGATAGTGTTAGGGTGAGCACAATTCTTATAATTTAGTGAGTTAGAACAACACTTTAAAGGAATTTCAGTCAAGTGACCGTTTTTTAATAATTGTATTTCTTTATCTGAAAAGTTTGCTCTTTTTTAAAGACAAGGTTGTAAAGGAAGATATTTTTGAAATACATACCTTTTCAAAAGAAATGGTCGTTTTCCCCTGTTTAAGTGTACATACAACTTCTCTGGTGTCTCCAGAAGATCAATAAAAACTTGACAAACTGTAGACACTAGGATTATGAAGGTAGTCTATTGTGAAATTCATATTAGTCTCTGTTCTGTTTATTCAAGGAGTAACAGTTAAGGGTTTCTTGGGGATTACTCTATTACAGCTTTACCTTATGGCTTTGCTATTTTAACAGATTGAGGTGGATATTCCTCGCTGTCATCAATATGATGAACTGTTGTCATCGCCAGAAGGTCATGCAAAATTTAGGCGTGTATTAAAAGCCTGGGTGGTGTCTCATCCTGATCTCGTGTATTGGCAAGGTAACTTTTTTAGTTATTAAGAGTCTTCTTGGAGTATGAGGAGCTTATTGCCTGACTGTCAATTTTAAAAATTAAAACAAAATGTCAAAACATCCTTGGCTTTGGGAAAAGTCAACACTAAAGCTCTGATTCATTTTTTGAGAGGTTTATATGAGAATTTCTTTTTAAACTTTGTGTAAGTGCCTCGTAGATATCATTTAAATGCATGATATTTAAAATGAAGCAACTTGCCATCACATTCATTAGGAAGGCAGAAAAAAATATCTGTTGCTGTTGTAATCTTTGTGGGTACATTTTTTTATTGCTTATGCAAATAGTTAAAATAATTGTGGGCTAGTTGAGACTCTTACAGTTAATGATTCCCAATCTATTCTTACCATGGTTAGGAATTAAATAATAGGATATCACCCTAAACCTCTCATTTTATTTATTGTCTTTTTTTTTTTTTTTTTGGTGTCTTTAATGGTCCAGATCCTTGATTTTTAGATTTTGCCATTATTACTTTTGTGATCATTGGTAAAGTGAATGAGAAACCCATTCCACCCAGCCCTATTTTTGAATGTGTTGTTATAAGCAGCTGCTTTTATAATTTAGTTCTCTATTTGTTACTGGCCATACTTAAAAATATTATTTTTCTTAGTTCTGTTCATTTTAGAGGTGTTTTATATTCTCCTAACAATTACATTAATAGGTAGATTTATGTGCATTCTTGCAGCGTAATACCATATGAACAACATTGTCGATAAAAGAAATATGTCATATATTTGTATTTCACCTCACAATTTTTGAAGGATTTTTTTCATGTTCCCAAAGATAAAGAACATACACGGCAAATCTATATACCTTAGATGAGAAAACATTCCTGAAAAATATAAATAATTGTCAAGATCACACAGGGCAGGGTCAGAGATGGGACCATATCCAAAGCCTCCTAACATTCTTATATTTTTATATTACTGTATTTCTTTCTTCAGCTCATAATAATGTTGATGATAATAACTGATTTATATCGGACCCTTACTATGTGCCAGATACTATCATTTACTTCTCATAGTAACTTGCGAAGTAATGCGTTTCTGCATGGATTGTATTAATACTTACAACGTTTAATCCGTTTGTAGGCAATGCAGAGAACTAAACAAGGTGTATATCTGCAGTTCTACCACATTATATTCATTTGACTTCTTTCTCCCAACCCCTCTACATCAGGTCTTGACTCACTTTGTGCTCCATTTCTGTATCTAAATTTCAATAATGAAGGTAAGCCTCTTTATAATTTAAATTATCATTGTGCATATTATTCTAAAATATTTGATTCAAACATGAAATGTTTTTGTTTTAAGGTTCTTGCTCTCTCCCTGGTAGATTTCTGTGAAATAATCCGATAGACTCATTTTAGAGGATGTGAAAGATTAATTTATTACTGGAAAGTTTCATTTATGACCCGTTGTAATTAGAGATTTGGTGGGGATTTGACTGATCATTCTAAATGCATTTGCCTACGTTGGTGACTCGTTTCATGAAACTAGGGAAGCTTCTGACTTCTTCTCAGATTAGTTTTAGGCTAAGTATACTTTCTAAAGAATTTGTAAAGAAATCAATATTTGCTACATTTTCCCCTAATCTTATATCTCCAAAGCCTGTCATCATTTCAAACACCACCTCCTTAATGAAGACTTTTCTTACTCTCTTTCCTGAGCCCATATAGCACTTTGTATTTTAGAAAATTTATTTTGTGTCTATCTTGTATTCTAGTTACTTATATACTAATGTTGTAATCCTTTTTTTAACAGATTTTTTTTAATGACTAGCTTTTTGTTTTCTACCCTTCTGCTATAATAACTTTTTTATAGTGGGTTTTTCAGTAAATACTTGATAAATTCAAATGACTTAAATTCCCATTCCCTGATATCACATATAGAACGTGTTACCATGTATCATTGAATGTATAGATGCCTAATCTCAGAATCCCCATCTTTTCAAATTCTATTTCATGTCAGAATATGCATAGATTTCTGGAATTGAGTAGGTATAGTGTAATCCCAGAGAACTGAAATTTCACTATTTGAATGGTTTTTAAAATGCACCGTTCTCTGATATCCTCACTCATTAGCCTGGACTAGAGTTTTTGCTGGGTTTAGTTAGGTATAGCCAATTATCACTCATATTAGCCCAAGAATAGTAAAGGGTCTGTGTTTGCAAATACAGGTTATAACAAGTATTCCTTTTTTTTTTTAATTTCACAATATTACAGGTGTACAAACATTTTGGTTACATGAATTACTTTTGTATAGTTTGAGTCAAAGTTATATGTGTGTCCCTCTCCCAGATATAACAAGTATTCCTAAATTCAAAGTTCACAGACTCTTGTTTGCATCAGCAGTAATCAAGGGTCTTGAGATTTGGATGGCTTATAAATAATGATTGTGTTTAGAAATTTATAAAAACATAATGTTCAGGTGATAAAGGATTTTATTATTGTGGGATAATGATTGCCACAGTAGTTCGAAATTGAAGGTACTAGGATGATTATCTTTTCTTGTCCAAAATATTTTCTGTTTTAAAGTTCAGAGGCTTTTTTCCCCTTAATTTGTGTTCCCAGCACTTATTACCATAACTCAAGGAATGTGTGCTAAGTGAATGAATTATACTGGTCGTTTACCCTATTAACTAATTTTTTGATATACCTTTGCTTTTTTCTTTCCTAGCCCTGGCTTATGCATGTATGTCTGCTTTTATTCCCAAATACCTGTATAACTTCTTCTTAAAAGACAACTCACGTGTAATACAAGGTAAGAAAATGTCTTTCCTTGTTTTTTTTCCAGGGATAGTGCTTATATCAAAAGTAACCAGTACCCAATTAAATTTATGATTTTGACCCAGTAAAACATGGTGATGGCCCATCACTAAAACCTACTATTTGTGTCCCTCACAATTAAAACTACAAAATGCAATTAGCCAGGCATGGTGGCACATGCCTATAGTCCCAGCTACTCGGGAGGCTGAGGCAGAAGGATAGCTTGAGCCCAGGAGTCTGAGGTTGCTGTGAGCTAGACTAACGCCACGGCACTCACTCTAGCCAGGGCAACAGAGTGAGACTCTGTCTCAAAAAAAAAAAAAAAAAAATTACAAAATGTTTCACCGTGGAGCGTGCTTGCTGTGAATTAGTAAAAAGCTTAGACATTGTTTAATCGTGTAAGTAGATTATTAAAAACACTTCTCGTTCATCTCATTCCTCGTGCTTACACACCCAAAACGTACTCCCTTTTTCTTCTCCTTCCCTAAAATATGCCTCCTCCTTCCGAGTCCAAGTTACATCGTAACCCGTTTGTGAATTCATTCAGGACAACTTCAGCCACATTGAAACTTACAATTGAGTCGTGTGATCATTTATATATTTTTTGCGTCTGCAGTGTAGGTAGGTGCTAGAAATTGAAATAATGATTCAGTGTCTCTATATTAGTTTTTAACTGTAAACTCTATTATATTCGTATTTTGAAATGGTTTGGTTTGAAATGGATGTGCCCAGTTTCCCATACATTTTCCATAATGCATACTTGTATAAAGTTAGGATTAATTTGAGAAGGCACGATTTTTTGTTTGACTTTTTATAACACCTTGGATGATAAAATTTCTGAGGCTATGCAATGTAAATAATCTGCCAAATAGTGACCAAAGACAAATTAAAAAGATTAAAGGTAGGCAATGATCAAGCGAATATTTGTGCAGAGCAAAAGCAGATTTCTCAATTCACAGTTAAATATGTCACCAATATAATGCTGTTATTTTTAAAGCTAACATTAAATTATAATGTTTAATGAGCTTTCAAATATAAAAGCCTAGAAATCTTCCTTTTCCAAATTTGTCAAACCCCTATTAAAGCACAGTGTCTAGCTAAATTTCTATAGTTTAGAAAGATGAAAATACTGGAGAATCCTCAAGGAAGCAGTGAAAATAAGACTCGTAAAGTGAACCGGTTAGACTTTTAGACGGCTGGATGATGCCTGGCTACATGGCCAGCTCTTAGAGGTCTGCTTTGGACATCTTCTGTCACATTGGTTTCTATTTTGGCTCTATGTAGATTCCCATTAAACAATACAAAAATTATTTCCCTCTAAAAATTTCATTTTTCCACTAATTGTTTCGTATCTCTGATGGATGTGTACGCTCTATATTGATACTAGATTTCTAACATGAAAAAGATGAGTTTTCACACTTTTTAACTATAGACTAATTTTTCTTTTTTTCGTAGAGACAGGGTCTTGCTCTTGCTCAGGTCAGTCTGGTACTCCTGGGCTCAAGCGTAGCACCTCGGCCCCCCGAAGTGCCGGGATTACAAGCGTGAGCCACCTCGCCTGGCCAATTACAGTGTTTTAACAACATTTTAATATCTCTTTAAAGAGTCAGCAGTAACATCCAGGGAATCCTTTGTTTTATTCTGACCACAGGTCTGGGTTGTTTATTTGTTTGTTTTGTTGCTACTCTAAATTCTTTCAGCTGGATTTACAAATCAAAGGACATAAGCATTTTGATATATTTTAAGTTTGCTCTAAGGGACTTTTAAATGCTGTTTTGAAATAACTTGGAATGTGATGGTTCTATCATATACCCCTGTATAAAGAAAGAAATCTAAGTATAACAGGCCATACCATATCTTATTCAAAGATATGGTTGTCCTGAGCAACCAAAACTTACGTCAGCTTTACGAATTATATTTATGTATCTGAAGTAATATATGTAACCTATAATAATATGTAAAGTAAATGTATATATTTGTGCATGTGTGTATGCAGTTATAACACATATCATGGGCCAGGCCTGGTGGCTCACGCCTGTAATCCTAGCACTCTGGGAGGCTGAAGCGGGAGGATCTCTTGAGGTCAGGAGTTTGAGACCAGCCTGAGCAAGAGTGAGACCCCATCTCTACTAAAAATAGAAAAAATTCACCAGGCACAGTGGTGAACGTCTATAGTCCCAGCTAATTGCAAGGCTGAGGCAGGAGGATTGCTTGAGCTCAGGAGTTTGAGTTTGCTGTGAGCTAGGCTGACACGACAGCACTCTGCCCAGGCGACAGAGTGAGATCGTGTCTCAAAAACAAAAACCAAAACCAAAAAACACGTATCATATAAATCCAGCCATCAGTGTTTGGCATTGGCAGAACAGAAGGAAAATGTTTTCATGATGAATTAGGTTTCTTCAGTAGATCCTTAATTAGCCATGTAATTTCACGTAGTAATTATTTTTATCAGGCTCAAATAAAAATGATATTTCATAAACTGGAGCTTAGTTATGGAGAATTGCCTGAGGCATGAATTTCTCATTTAAAATGAGGAGTTGCTCTTTAGAAATTAAGAACTATATGCTTTCATCAGTATACAGTTGAATGCTTATGATTGTCAATGTTATGTATCTCTGGCTTTCTGAGTAAATTAGGACTATAAAAACACAATCACTAATTGGAAGGAGAAATAAAAAAGCTAAAGAGAAGTTAAACCCAGAAGTTTCCTGAGTCCTTCAGATATATCCTAGGGCTCCACTTTGATCTTAACTCTTGAAGCTGATGTAAATTGTATCTTTGTTCAGAGAGGAAGAGGTGAGACAACGGATAGATAAAATGAATTCTGTTGCAATAGAATAAATAAAGTCAAGAAAAAGTATCGCTTGATACTTATTTATCCAGCATGGGTAAAAGTTCACGTTAGATCAGTAATTCGGCTTTATCATGAAATACAGCACCTCCTGTTCTTTTCTTTTTGACCTAAAGTTCTTTTGTGTAAAATGTGTGATGTTGCTTATAGGTAAGTATCTATAAAATACATGTGAACATTAGAAGCAAAGTTTTATTTGAGAAAAACAAGGGAAGACTATTTGTATTAATGGAATGTCAAGGAATTACTGCTTCTTGAAATATTAAACATAAGAAATTTTAAAACTGAAAAAGCAAAGCAAACATTTTTAGAGGTTATTTTCACCAAATAATTGGATCGAAAAATAGACGTTACTTTAATGAAGGAGAGAGTTGAGGTACTTAATTAAAGGAAAACTTTCATGGAAGTATCATCATTTCACTTTCAAAAAAGAAAAGGAAATTGAGCTCATTGACATGTATTAATTTTGGTTTTTCAGTGAACAAAAATATGGTGGTTACTTGCCTTGTGTAAATTGTTACCACAATCTTGTTTAGATCAGTTTACATAGTAAATTGGCAAGAATAGTAACTTAGAATGGAAAAAATGAAAACAAGAACTTATTCCTCACATTTCAACCGAACCCTATGAATAGGATTAGAATCAAAGATATTTTTAATTGCCTACTGTGTGTCTGCTTTCTGATTAACATGATGTTGATTCTTATTTCTAAATATGCCAAATGCGAAGTTTTAGATGGAAATAAATTAGAAATGTAACAGATGCCTATATCTGTATATATAAACAAATTTGAGGCATAATTATTCTATTTGTGACTCTTATAAATGTTGTTCCTTGTCTGGGGATCTGTTACACTTTCTGAATATTCAATAAATGTGAAACAGATTTAGTATTACTAGAGAAAATGTGTTTGTAGAGTTTAATAGGAAAACATCATATATCATGTGTTTAATTTGTGACTCAGGAAATAAACTGATAGCTCTGAAGACAGAGAATAAGTTGTGGCATAGATTTTTGGTACATTTGTTTAATAATTAGCAGTAAGTAAGGTAATAAAAAAACAAAATTATCTATTAAAGTATCTTTTTTTCATGGAGAAATTAAATCTCATTCAGTATGTAAATGAAACTATATTTGAATTTAATGTCTTTGAGTACTTTGTAAAAATGATGATTATCTCTGTTGCTATTTCAGAGTATCTGACGGTGTTCTCTCAGATGATTGCGTTCCATGATCCAGAGCTGAGTAATCATCTCAACGATATTGGCTTTATTCCAGATGTAAGTACTTGGTGTATCATAGAACATGAGGTAAAAAATAAAGGAGGAATTCGCAGCACAAAAGAGTGTATTTTTAAAACTTTTATTGGCATAGAAGTCAGATTCTGAACAAGTTACTGCTACTAATTATAGCCTCCTGCTAAGAAAGTTTTTGTGGTTACCTTCCATATTCCCACTTTAAGTAAAGGAAAAAGATCTTACTTTTCTTAACACACTTGATACCATCAAATTGTTTTGAAAAAGCCATTAGTGAGAGTGTTGTATTGAACTGTGTTGTGAAGGGTTTTCACTTGGATTTTATGATATTGAGCCCTGGGTTTGAAGAAATAGGAAATCTATGCTTAAGTGAAATCCTAAGTAGCTGCTTTGATGTTTTGCTTGACATATTACCTTAGAAGCTTTGACAGATTTTGCTCATTACTTCATCAGCTTGCTAAAATTCAGAGTTGACACTCAACACTTAGCCAGGGCGTGGCTCAGCCTGTAACTCATTTGTGGTTTGTGACACAGAGTCAAGCCCTTTTTAAAAGGCTGTTGGATAAACATATATCAGAACATTAGATTGTACCCCATAATACATACACTTATTATTTGTCAATTAAAAATTAAAAAAAATGAAAGTGAAAAAATTAATAACAGAGGTTACCTGTTTGGGGAGGGAGTTGAAATTGGTAGCAGAGGTGTATGGGAAACTGTTTACTTGTTACACTTTACATTTAAAAATTTTTTAACGCTGTGAATATGTTACTCATTCAGAAGTTAAATTGAAGGCACCTGCCCTCAAGCAGTTATAATTTTTCAGGGAGATGCTTTATTGAAAAGTTACTGATAAGAGGACAAAAATGTTGATGTTACATATTGTTAAAGTAGCAAATACAATTTATAAAATATTATGGTATCTCATTTTCATAAAATGAAATTTAGTATACATAGAAAAGTTGAAAAGCTACGCTCTAGAACATTAATTACGATTATATTGGGTTGGAGGAGTTATGAGTGATTAGGGGGGAGTGTAAGTGCCGTTTTTAATTTTTTTTCATTGAACATGTTATTTTTGTAATGTGAAAAATCTTCTAAAACTGTATTATATGATGTTTAATAGAACACTAGAAAGCAATGTTTTTAAAACTGTTTATTCCTACAATACATAGGAAGAAATTGTATTTTATATTGAGACCCAGGACACAAAAAATTGGGAGTGGTGCTGTGTATGTGTGTATATAACTGAAACAAGTTTTATGAAACATTTTACGCTTCTTACCGGTGATGCATTTTATTATTGTTTTAAATATCTACACCCAGTAAGTTGATGTTGTGAACCTCAATTTGAAAAATACTTATATAAAGGATTTTTTAAAAATCAGTAAAAACTTATCTTTAAAATTAAAAAAGGAAAAATAAAAGGTTGTTGGAGTTATATTGTCATAGGTTTTTATAAACCTCAAAAAAATGCTTTTTGAGATAGAGATTTCTTTAGTCCATCTTAAACTTGTTTCCTGATTGTGCCTTTCCTGTAAAAAAGGCTTACATCCAGAAACTAGTATATTGACAATCAAGATTAGATGAAAAATATTTATTAATATATGAATACTTAGTGCATTTAAAGTGTTGACAATAACGCTGATAGTATAAGTACCTGCAAAGTGCTTTGTAGCTTAAAAATAACTTTCATAGACATTATTTTCATTGGATTGTCAAAAACAGATTTGTAAGGTATATGAAGCAAATGTTTTCAGCATTTAATTGATAAAGAATTTAGTCTTCGTGAAGGTAACAAAACTAATTAGTCACAGAACTAAAACTTTAACTCACATCATTTGGCATCAGCCTTCTGCCTCCAGTCTGATATATTTTCCATTGGGAAAATAGGCACTAAAACATAGGTCTGCTTCCTTCTAGTTCATTGCTTTTTGTGTGATGTTATAACTCTCTGTGATATAATCATCAGGCCTCCTTAATAACCTTATGGAGAGATACCTTTCATTTAAGTACATGGCTTTCTTAGTCAGGGCTCTGTAAAGAACACATACAGGTTACAAAACAAACACATAGACAAAACAAAGACAAGCCCTATAATTATAGAGACGAAAAACTTATAAAAAATTAGCCAATAAGCATATTATTAACTATTCGTTTTATATGACCCTAAATTTCTTGCCTCACATTATAAACATGAGGTATAATACAGTACAATATTAGATTAAATCTTATGCTAGAGTTGAAGAAATTATCAAAATGCTGACTGCCAAGTTGGTAATGATGTTACATTTTTGAGGGAAAAAGAATGCTAGTATCCAAGATAGAGACTATAAGAAGTGAAAATTATTTTCAAAAAATTCTCTTGAAAGCACCTAATTAAATTGTGGTCACCACTGAATAGAAAATTACATTGGTTCAGTGTTAATAGATTGACAGAAAACATTTATGTAGACAAATATGTATAAAATTAGAAAGACAGTCTAATAAAAATCCTTAAACATTCGTGAACAGAATTGGTACTAAGAAAGGTAACAGAAAAATAATTTATTTTTGCTTTAATTAATCAGAAAAACATTGTTAAAACAATAATCTGAGCACATACTAAATGCTTTTTGTGTACCAAGCAGTGTTTCATCCTCTTTAAATATAATCACTCATCGAATCCTACACGTTTGTAAATCTGATTAAACAATGACCTAAATGTTTATATATAAAGCCAATTTGGGCTGATAGTAAGGTGAAAATAAAATTCTAGGTAACAGTAACATGAAAGGTAAGAGTAGGTGGGAACCAGTTAAAAGGAATTCCAGTGTTTTTGCATTCTTTTGATTGGAACAGAAATATGCTCATTGTATTTAGATATTAAGTCTGGGAACCTTTCAGACCTGAGATTTGATTTTACTCTAATAAATTAGCCTGTTACTGTTGCATGGAGTGGGCAGAAAACAAGACTTTGTCACTCACAGCATACATAGCAAGCAGCATGGGCTTTAGCATATTTGTGTTGGTTCCCCTTTCTCCCAGATCCCGTGGAGACGACACTGAGGGCCCAGATGATAACTGCATACGCAGTGCATGAGCTTGGGGAATTTGAATTTTTTTTTTTTTTTAAACAGGGTCTCTCTCTGTCACCCTGGCTAGAGTACGGGGGTATTGCATTATCCTAGCTCACTACAACCTCAAATTCCTGGGCTCAAGTGATCCTCCTGCCTCAGCTTCCAGAGTAGCTGGGGCTACAGGCTTGACCACCATGCCGGGCCAACTTTTCTATTTCTGTAGCGAAGGGGATCTTGCTCTTGCTCAGGCTGGTCTCGAGCTCCTGCCTAAAGCAATCCTCCCGCCTCAGCCTTCCAGAGTGCTGGGATTACAGGCCTGAGCCACCATACCTGGCCTGGGAATTTGAATTTTTTTAAATGGGTAGTATACATGCCTTCCCTTTACTCTGGAGAGAGAGAGAGACACACTATCTTTTTCTTCCTTCCCTTTACTCTGGAGAGAGACAGAGAGACAGACACTATCTTTTTCTTCCAGTGCTGTAAGTAAACTTGTCCTTTGCTCCAAAGGGAGATTCTATGTCTGTTATCCCAAGGCTGTTTTTTATACAAACACATTTGAAAAAATCGTCCAGAACAAAAGACAGCAGTATTTTCTCCTTGCAAGAAATGTAGAGTGCAAGGATGCATGCTAAAAATTTAATTTAAGGTAATCAGTAAAAGAATAGAAAGAGAATATATAACTTCTAAACCAGTGGAGGGGGGCAGGGTAGCACAAAGAAAAGTCAATGCTGTAAGAATAGAAAGAACATAGAAAGAACGTGAGCTAATTAAATTGCCTATCAAAGGAGATTTTCAGATATATGTTTAAATCCATCTACATGCTATCTATAGATAAACATAAAAATTTAAAAATAATGGTCAAAATGAGATAAAAAAACATATGTCAGGCAAATATTAACCAAAAGAAAACTAACGCAGTGACACTAATGTAAACCAGTAAAACAGAAGGGAGAACACAGAGCAGACCCACCCATATATGGAATCTGATACACGCTAGACATGGCTTTACAAATCAGTTAGAAAAGAAAGCATTATGAAATAATGATACAGTTGGATAAGTACATGGGAGGGGGTGCGAATTAAAGTCTAAATTAACTCCACATGTGAAAGTCAATTCTAGATCTACTAAAAGACCTAAATATGGAATGTCATATTTATATTTTCTATCTAAGAAGAAATTCTTATTAAGGTTATAGAAAGTATAAAACGTAAACTTAAAAAGAGAGTTTTGGGATTGAGGAGTGACATAAAAGGGGCTTCCATTGTATTGGTAGTACATTATTCTGGTTTAAAAAAAATTTTGAAGCAAATGTGGCAAATGTTAATGCTTGTTAAAGCTGAGTAGAGAGTACGCTAGTGTGCTTTAAATGTGCTGTCATGCAGGGTGATTGAACTATTCGATAATTCAATAGGTTTCCTATAAGTTATTTACTCTACTAATGCTTCCCTGTCCATAATGACCCACTCCAAAAGTTACTGGGGCATTTTTGTGTAACTTCTTATAAAAACTCTTCAATAGTAGTAGTATTGTGAAAGTAGTGCTGATGTATATGCATAGTGTGATTGGTCACATGATACATTAGTAAATCATGTGGGATGGGAGATTTTTTTAATGCTGAGCCTCCCTGACTCCCAGCCACTGATTGCCAGTGGTAATCCGCTAATTATTGTAACAATGAAATGCCTCTACACACATTTCTGGAAAGCTGCTTGTATTTCCAAATACCCTCTAGGTAACAGTTCTGTCACTGTTGAGAATCCCAAAAAGAAGTGAGGAAAAAACAGAAAATGTCTTAACTTGGAGAAAATTCCTCTGCCTACAACTATTTTCTTGTCACGGGGTGGATAGATCAAAGTTATTTAACAAGGAAAGCTAAAATATTTTAGCTTTTAGAATGTTTTTGAAATGCTTTATCTTTTTTTATTTGTTTTGTTGTGCTGTTTCTCAAGTCTGTGGCTAGTATA